ACGATTTCTCTTGTCAAGGAATGCACCGATTGAGTTAGTCAGCGTCTTCTGGCTTCGGAAAAAGCAGATGCACTTGTATGCTCGGTCAGCTTTTGTCACGAAGGTCCCATGGAAAGATACAACAACGACCAGAGAGGAGATCAATCCCTAAGCAAATTTTTATTTTACGACCAAGAATGTGCAAATGCACGGTCAGCTTTGTTCTAAGTTACCTACACCGATACCCATTTTACCTACTTACCTGAATTTGTCCAGAAATTTTCTGCCTTTGCATTGTACAGTCACCATTTTTAAAGCGCATAGATATCCTCAAATTATCTTTTTTTGAAAATAGGTGATTCGACCCCCTAAAAAACTACCTGCTTTGGTTTCGATTGTCCACGAAGGCTTTGCTACACTTTTCGTCGCCTGCCATCTCATGTACGTAAACTCTTCCAGAAAACGGTTTCTTCGTCTTGAAAGTCAAACCAATAAGAGAATCTTCGCAGTCAACCTTAAAAGAGGACCTGCATGACTATCTAATCACTATGAAAAACAAGTTGAACTCACTGTTGGCTCTCCCACTATTTCATTTTCTATGGAATACCAAGCGGAAGCAACTGCGTTTGTCCAGATAAAGGTGATAAAATGACAGAATCTCATCTGAAGGTAGCTGATAAGGTTGCATATTCAGTAAAAGATTATGCTATTGAAATATCATCGGATACTTTTCGAGTATTACAGAAAGATGAAGAAAGTTTTTAGGAGTTCGATAAAATTCAGAAAGGCAGCAGTGTATCATGTACAGTCCTCTCGCGTATAAGAAGAAATCAATCCTTGAGGGACATCAAAATCCCGAAGGTTATCTTGTATGCCATCATGTTGTGCGCCAATCATCTCCGAGATACCATCAAATCCTAATAATGTGTCGAAAGGCACCGTAAACACTCCCATTTATTTATACGTTCCTTTTGCTTTCATGTAAACAAATCGAATACTGAAAATCTTGGCGGTAAATTTGAAACAGTGAATGGGTTAAGTCAGAAGTTTGCAAAAGAAGTAAATTTTTTTTACAGATTTGATAGATGGGCTCTCTAAATTTCAGAATTCTTACATTTTGGATTGGATATCGCGTTTGATAACCACAGAATGAATTTCCAAGCTCCAGTAAAGGGTGCAACGCTACTGCTTTCCGC